TTTGGATGACGGGCTCCCTCCAGATTTCCTCCATGAGATCTGAGGTAAGCGGTGTCTCCCAGAGACAGGCCAGAAACCTTAGGGGTGTCACTAGCCCGAGGCTGTCCCGCTAATGTCGCAGCTCAGTGGTGCCTCAACCACCCAGTGTTGATTTCGAGCTCATCCCACTTGACACGGGTTCAATGCCAACACAATTCTCAGTAGAGAATCATTTTTTCTTCCATCCAGAGCCCAGACAGAAATAGGAAAATCTCCTTTCAGTTTTTTTATCACAGTTGGGTGGATTTTTTTAAAAAAACATTGCAGTGAGATACCCATACATAAAATTAACCATTTTAGCTATTGATGAGTGTACAGTTCAGTGGCATTAAGGGCATTGACCTTGTTGTGCAGCCCTCACCATCCATCCCAGGACTTCCCATCATCCCAAACTGGAATTGTGCCCCCATAAACAACTCCCCATGTCCCTCCTCCCCGTCCCCCAACCACCGCCATTCTACTTCCCATGTCTCTGAGTTTGCCTGTCTCAATGCCTCTTGAGGTGCAATCATACAGTATCTGCCCTCCTGTGTCTGGCTGCTTTCACTTAGCATGATATTTTCAAGGTTTATCTATGTTGTAGCTAGCGTCAGAATACCCTTCTCTTTTAAGGCTGAAAAATTCCATTGTAGGTAGGCGTGCGGGATTTTAAACCCCAGGCTCTCATGAAGTTGCGGCCCTTGGCGCCTCTGCGACCTGAGCCTTCCCCCGGAAGCACGTGCCCCTGTCCCAGGGCCCGCAGATTCCAGAAAACGATGTGCTCAGCTTGGTTTCCACTCACTTCCACATCTCTCTTCTGTGGCTTCTTCCACCCCTTTTCCTGCCCTTTCCTTTTACCCCCCTTTTCTTTTCCTTTCTTTCTTTCGTGTGTGCGGAGGACCTGGAGATATTTTCTTGCTTCTTGGAAGCTTATCCGTGCATTTTTCGAAGGATGTTTGCAAAGAGGCCAAGGGGGCAGTGGGCGCTGAAGCATGGAGTTATTTGGGGGCAGGAGTGACTTTAATTGCTTTTACAATTTCAAACTGATGGAAAAGTTTCAAGACTTATACCAGGAAGTCCGTATGTCTTTTCGGCTCCCCAATTGGTGCCACTCCTGCCCCCACTTCTGCTTAACCGTTCACTCTCTATCTCTAGAGTATCAGGTATTTACATTTCCAGAAACATTTGAGAAAACGCTGGAGACACCATGCCCTTTGTCCCTAAATACTCAGTGTATATTTGCTAAGATCAAGGACATTCTTTTTACTCGCCACAATGCAATGATCAAAATCAGAAAACTTAACACGGGTGTATTATTACTTTCTGTTGCACAGAATGCATTCGGATGTCACTGAGGGTCTTACTGACATCCAAGGTATCATCTGAGTTGCCCAACAAACGAACTGAACTCTGTTGTGCTGTCTTTCTGGTCTCCTTTGGTAAGAACAGTTTCCCCATCTCTCTCTGTCTTGACCTTGAAAGTTTTGAAAAGTCAAGGCTGCTTGTTTTTGCAGAAGGTCCTTCACTGGAATGTGTGATGTTTCCTCACAATTAGGTTCAGGTCAGGCAGCGCAGTTTCTTCATCTTCCCAAATGCTACCCCTACATAACACCCCAGCTAACCCAGGCAAAGCAGTTAGGGTAGCGAAAAGTTCACAAAAAACATTTCCCATGAAACCAGCCGACCATGGAACCCCATGAACCCCGAAAGATAAGTGGACGGGGCTGGACCAGAGCAGTACAGGGAGAAAAAGAAATTCTCAAACGTGCGGTGAAGCGCTCACCCCTGGAGGGGAGGTTGCCTTCACAGCAGAGGACTTGGTGAGGAATCTGAGGACAGCAGCAGTCAGATCTTGTGCTTGTGTGTGATAGGGGGAGGTTAGGGTTAGGGGTAGGGTTTCCTAATGAGGCGCCAATTAATAGGTAGGTGTAGGGGGCCATGGGAAGGCTGGAAGACGCTGGGATGGTCTGGGCCCCCAGAGATCTCAGCATTACTTGCTGGAATCTCTCTTCTGGAAGGACAAAGCTCTGTACTTTATTAGACTTATTGAAACATATTTGACATATAACATTGTGTAAATGTAAGGCGTATAACATGTTAATTTGATACACTTATAGATTGTCATATGATTGCCATTGTCACGATAATTAGCCCTTCTATCCTGTCAATATAATTATCCTTTCTGTTCAGTGACTGGATAAAACTTCATTCTTGTGAAAATGAAGAGAGGCAAAACCCAACTGATTTTGATAGGAACTCTGGGGGGCAAAGGAGAAAGATTTAGCTACCCATAGGGGAGGCAGATCTATCTCTCTTGGAAGTAGTGGCGAGGTGGCTACACTGGCAGGTTAGATTTTCAGTACTGAATGGAAACAGCAACGTGTGAACTTTTAAGTACATCGAGGCTGGGAAAGTCATCCTGGCCTGCCCCACTCCCTACTGAGGAACTACTAAATGTGCTTACTGGCGAGCAACAGTAGGCGAGGGTGGTAAAGTGCATACAGATATGTGCACGGAGTTAAATACCATCACCCCCGAATCCACGTCCACCTGGAACCCGCGCATGTGGCCTTATTTGGAAATAGGATCTTTGCAGACGTAACCAAGTTAGGATGAGGTCCTCCTGGAATAATGGGCCCTAAATCCCTTATGATTGGTGCCCTTATACGAAGACTGTAATTTTTAGGCACAGATTCAAACACCTGGGGAAAAATGCATGTGAAGTTAGAAGCAGAGATAGGCGAGATGCATCTCCAAGCCAGCGGGTACCAATGATTGCCAGCAACTACCAGAAGCTGGGAAGGAGCAGAGGCGGACCCTCCCCATAGAACCTTCCGAGAGGGCATGGCCCTGCCGACAACACCTTGATCTCAGATTTCCAGCCCCCAGAACTGTGACTGAACACATTTCTGTTGTTTTAAGCCACTCAGTTTGTGGTACTTAGGAAACGAACACACTCTCCATTCCACCCTCCCAACCAGTTGGTGGTGACCCCTTATCTGATTTCTCTGAATGAATTTGCCTACTCCTCAGGATTTCTGATTCAGTGGGTTTTGGGGTCCCCAGTTACATATCTAACAAGCTCCCACGTGCTGCCGCTGATCCAGAGCTGCACGGAGAACTGTCATTCTACAGTGCCGCAGGTGTAGCCACGCTTGAGGTACAGGTTCCAGGCAGCCAAAGAGCAAAACAGGGCTGCTTCCAGCCCCTACAGCTAACACCGGAGCCCGGAATCTCTACCGACACATTCCTCTACCAGGATCCCTTTCCCGCCGGCACTTCAAATCTTTGTCCTCACGTCTTTCCTAACAGGAAATGACTCAAAGAGCAAACAAACCCCAGGTCGCTTTCAATCTCAAGGGCAAGATCTTGCGATTGTTTTGGTCAGGTCCTAGTTCCTCAGCAGTCACCCTACGGAACCTGCGGGAGTTGAGTTTAGGAGCAGCAAGAGATGATGGGATGGACCTTGAGGCAGATCAGCAGCACCCTCAGGGGGGACCCTTTGGACAAGGGGACACTAAGCACTTCTAAAGGAGGCACAGCACGGTTGGGAGCTCAGTTTCCTGGTGGAGCGAAGGTGCTCTTTGGACACATTTCGCAGGCCCCTGTCTGACCTCCTTCTTCCTGGTTTCCTGCCCCTCTCTCTGGATCTCTGCCCCCCCACCTTTGTCCCTCTTCTCTCTCCTCCTCCTGTCCTCCCCTTTGTTTGGGTCCCTGGCCCTCTCCCCCTGAGTCTCTGTCCCCATCCCCCGGGTCTCTACCACAGAGCCCCCTTCCTGCTCCCTCCCCTCAGGGTCTGTGATCTCCAAGGTCAGTGGGTGGGAGAACCATCAGGACCGTGGCCACCACTTCTTCCTGCTCCCCACACAGGGCTGACTTCCCTTGACACAAGTAGGTGGATTCCTCTGACCAGGAGCTTACATCTCACATGAAGTCACCCCCTGCAGCAAACTGGCTACTTCAGGTGGACTTGGTGGCATTACAGGTTCTGTTCCCCGTGGGGACTCTTTCTGGTGACTGAACCAGCCTAGTTCCATAGGGGACAAAAGTGTACTTTGAGGCACATTCATTTCCTCTGGGCATGGAGTCCCTCCCAGAACCTTCTGGGTCCTGCACCTCCATCCCTTTTGTTCAGGATGTTCCTCTCACTTAAAACTTGGAGTGAAGACAAGTGGCTGCATTCCCCAGCTCCAGAGAGGCTGAGGCCCCCAGCCAGTCACCTGGGCTCCAGCAGGGTAGACCCATGACCCCTGGGAGGTGCACTTTAAATCTTTGTTCTCACATCTTTCTTAACAGGAAATAACTCAAAGGGCAATATGGAAATCCAGATGGTGGGAAGGAAGCGAGAATGGGCAATGCGCTCGCTGGATTAGGAGTGGATTCTCACAGTCACCTCAGGCCAAAGTCCACAGTGCCCACACCGTGCACTCAGAACAGCATCCCCTCTTCCTGAGACCAGGACTCCCAGACTCCAGGGCCGCCTCCCTCAGACCAGAGTGTCCAGGTCCCTATGCCCTGTTCTCCTGGGACCCAGGTGTTCGGGTGTCTGACCCTCTGATCCCCAGGAGCCAAGAGTGCCACCCTAGCCGCAGGTACAGTCCCAGGAACCGAGAGTCCTTGCCCCAGCCCCGAGGACCAAGATGTCCTTCCATTCTGGGGCTAAGTGAACCCAGAAAACTACATCTCCCATCGGGCTGTGCAGTGCCTTGTTTAAACGTGCTCCAGATATTAAGGAACCTGGACAAATAGCTCTACAACACTAACATGAGGTTAGGGGGGGAGGGGTGGAATCCCAAGTCCTGTCAAAGGGCAGGAGTAGTCCAGAATCCCTGGGAACACCTTGGCAGAGCAGAAAACTGAGGATGGGGGAGGCCGGAACTGTTCCACAGCCTTACAGCAATGGGGTACAGGTGGGCTCTGGGGTCAGTGGCAAGGAAGCAGATCCCATTCTTCCCTCAGACATTCACTTGTGCTCACTCTAATTCTCCTCTTAGACTTTTTATTATTCCAGGCAAGAAAAATAGAAAAATAAATAAGATAAATAACCCAATAAATAAAGGGGAGCCCCAATAATCAGCAGCCTGTGGCTTTAGGAGGTGTAGCTGGGGCTTCCACCCTGCACAGGCCCCACCATGCTCAGGGGGTCTGAGGAGCCCACGTCGGGTGGCTCGGGGGCCAGGATCCCTGAAGGCTCCAGGGAGACTGAGGGCAGGCCTGGCAGCGGCAGGAAGCGCGTGGGTCCCCTGGGGGCCCGGGCCCCGTATGGGGAGTTGTCAGGGGGCAGGTGGAGTGGGAAGCCAAGGGCCTTGGACTGATAGACATTGTACCCGTCCTCGAGCAGCAGCTCCCGGAAGCTACAGGCCGTGGGGTTGAAGTGGAGCTGAGGGGACAAGCACAGAGATCAGAGACGTGGGATTCCTTTACCCCTTCCTGCTGCAGACTGGGGAGTCCAGGTCCCTGGATCCCTCCTTCCCCAGACCCAGGCCTTCCTCCCTCAGACTTATAGCCCTGCTCTCCCTCTGGATGCAGAGGTCTAGGGACTCCTGGGGATCTGGGGGAGCCCCTCCTCCCTCAGAGTAAGAGTCTAGGTCCCCAGGCCTCCTTCAGGACACAGAACAACAGAAGCAGGCTCCAGCTTTACCCTTGGCAGGCCTGCAAGGCCTTCCTCCCTGTCCCCACTCCGGAGAGGATTATTCCAGCCCAGGGACCAGGTAAGGCTTTAAGTCCAGACAGGGGCATCTGGCTACTGCCCACGGTCCCGGGAACTTTACAGGCCATGAGTTCCCAGAGTGACCCTATACTCAGCATGAGCCGGGCATACAGGAGCCCGTATGGTCAGCAGCCGTTCTGAGTCACAAGACCCACCTCTCAGGCCCCTCTGACTCTGTCACTGACAGGCCTCAGGACTTGGGGCTGGTGGTGTCCTTGCGTGAGACTCAGTTTCTTCTTCTTGCAAACACTGATAACAGCTCCCACCTCCAAGTGTGGTTGTGGGCTTGGGGCATGTGGAGAGCAGAGAATCAAGCCAGGCTCTGCGCAAAGTTGCGGGACATGGTACCCCACACGGTGAAGGTGATAGGAGGAAAGGTGGAGCGCAAGGAGGGGTTCCTGAAGACTCACCGATCCATACAGTGTCCCATCTGGGCCCTGGCACAGGAACCTGGATGTCTTGACCCCCAAAATCTGAATCACCCCTGGCTTCAGGGCCTTCAGCTTCAAGAGACCTGTGAGGAGCAAATGGTCAACGACTCAGAGAGCCTTTGCCTACGCCCTTCTCTCCTAGACCCGGGAGTCCAGCTCCCAGCCCTAGGCCCCACCTCCGCACTCACTTTCAGGGCTCCGGCGGGCAGCCGCCACCACTGTGCCATCAGCCCTGATCTCCAGGTGGGCTTCTGTTTCCCGGGCGTCATCTGTGTAGAGGTACCGCTGCCGGACTTGGCCTCCGAATTGGAGGAGGGGGCTGGAGTCAGGGATGGGGTGTGCCTGGCAGCCTTGCAGCAGCAGGACAGTCAGCACGGGGACCCACAGCCCCAGGTGCTCGAACCTGGCCTCGTCCCAGCCCATCAATGGCTCACGTCCTTAAGCAAGGTCTGGGCACTGGGCTTTGAAGAGCTGAAGGGTCTAGATTCTGTTTCTGATCCTGGTTGTCTGGGAGAGCCGGTTACCGGGTTGCTGAATGCCTCAGTCCTCTTGCACCTGGATTCCTAGCGGACAGAACACCCGTGTCTCTTCAGATGGATGCAGAAATTTCAGAATTTATATACAGACAGACCTGCCCAATCACCTTCCCCACACCTGACTCATGATATTTGACCCACTTGGCAGGAGCTAAGATTCCACCGTGGCCAGGCCAGCCTGAACGGATGATGCAATCAGGGGGTCCTTCCAGCTGGGGGCCTGGACTCCTGGGTTGAAGGAAGAGGGAGCTTGGGGTTTGGACTCCTTGGTCTGAAGGAGGAGGGAACTGAGGGCTTGGAAAACTGCCTCCCTGCTTGCCTGATGCAGACTGTGTCTCACAACTGGGATTTCTGCATCCCACTTCAATTTCTAGGTTTCTGGGGGTCGGGCACAGAGGTTCCTTGATCATCAGAGCAGCAGCCAGTGCCACATGACCAAAGTGTCCTCTGCAGGGATATAGGCATGCTGGCCGGGAAGCCTCTCACCTGGCCTCAAGCTGACCTTAATCTCACCAACCCCAGCCCAGACACTTGTACAACAAATGCCCTGGCCTCCTCCTCCTCCCTGATGCAATCTCGGTGTTTCTTTCACCAGAGAAGTTACCCCAGGCCCACACAGGAGCTGTCAAAATAACCTGGGGGATGGTGAGGGAGGGTGAAAGTCTATGACTCAGAGGTGGAAGCTGAGCCAGGCTCTGCAGGAGGGAAGAGAGACCCAGGAGCCCAAGGGGTACGAGGGAATGCAGAGACTGGACACCCAGGTCTGAATGAGGAGGGCAGGGGAGGCCTGAACTTCTCAGTCTGAGGAGGGGCTGGGGGCTGGGAGTCCTGGGTCTGGAGAAAGTGTGGTCAAATATCTGGAAAGTCAAGCCAAATTCCTGAGCCTTTGATTTATTGAAAGACAAATGGTCAGACCGCGTGGGCCAGTGGAGTGGCATGGGGAACCGTCTTCCACGGTGGAAACGTCTTAAGGGCTGCAGTGTGACAGAAGCTGTGGGTCCCTACAGTCAGTCACCCAGTGCCTCTGCTGGAAGCAGGGAAGATAAACTTTCTCTCCCTCGAGTTTTCTCTGTTCCAGTCCTTGGGAAAGGATAGGCTGGGACGGACTCGCCTAGAAAGCAGTAGTCAGGCACAGACCCTAGAACTCCCGGCAAGGAGAGGCTGGGGGCCGCCCCTGTGGAATCTGGGGGTGGACAGGGTGGGGATGCCTCATCAGCAGCCCTGGTGGGCGCTGGAACGCCTCCCGCGCGAAGCTCCCTCGCTTGGGACTCTGATCGCTGGAGGAGGCTTTCCATGGCTCCCGGAGCAGCCTGGCAAACAAGTTCTCCATCCCCACCCTCGAGGACGTGGAAGGGGTTGGAGGATCTCCCTCCTCGTCGGGACCATGTGTCCTGGCCTGTCCCAGCGGCTGGGCGTGGTCAGGATCGGCACATCCAGGTGCACAGGTCAGATGATGAACCCAGGCACAGGAGGCGAAGGGGGAAAGGCCCATCCGGAACAACTGGGTCCAGTATTGCAGCGGGTCGCCAGAGCTCCACGGCCAAGGAAGACCGGGGCTGCTAGGACGCCAGGTAGGCTGTCCGTGCGGAGCCCTCTTGCTGGCGGAGCCCGGGGAGGAGGGCGTTGGGCCGCGAATCCCCTGGTCTGGGAAGGGCTGGGGGGCCCGGGCCACCCCCTAGGCCCGAGCGCCGGAGCCGGGCGCCAGGGAAGGGGCGGAGCTCCGCCTCGGATCTACCTGCCTCACTAGGGAGGGGCGGAGGCTGTGAGCCTTGGGACCGCGCCCCATCTCCTTCCACTCCCCGATCCCTCGCAGCCATTCGGCGCAGGCGGCCTGCAAGGGAGGGCTGCCGGCCCGGGGACCTGGAGTCTGGGGTTCCTGGGCGGCCGGATGTGGGCTGCACCTGCGGACTATGCTCTCCGGCTACGCCAAGCCCCCTGTGAATCTGCCACCCACCAGGAGCTCAGGTGAGTGGGAACTGAGGCTGCCCAGGACCAGGCCCAGGAATGGGAGCCTGCAGTCAGGGGGCACGCCTGTCTGCAACCCCCTACAACTCCAGGAGTCTCCTCAGTGCCCACCCCCAACTCCTGCAGGAGTCAAGAACCCTCATGCAGTCTTTGGCCTGTGGCTTCACCTCCGTGGTGGGCTCTGTCCCTCACGCACAGGTCCACCTGAGGAAGGAGTTGGTGGGACATCTTCTAACTTCAGTGGGCCTCACAGGCTGGGAGAAGGAGACTCCAAGGTGTGGTGCCGGGTCCACTGCTATCTTGGTAACCACCAGTTTTCACCATCTCCCATCCCTCCCCTGAAATGCCAAGCCCCCTGCTTTGCCTTCCCTGGACCTAGGAGATCCAGCCCTTCATTTCCTCATTCCCTCAGGACTCTGCACCCTGATATTCATCCTCAGGCTCTGCTCACCTGCTCATTCGCTTTTCCTCCTCTGCAGCCATGTGGGTCCCCAGCCGACATCACCTCTGTCTGACCTTCCTGCTAGTCTGTGTCTTCTCAGCCATCCTCCTCATCCATATCCACCAAGACCTCTTTCCTGTTGGTCTAGACCTGTCCGCCCTGTGTCCAGACCGCCACCTGGTGACAGCCCCCGTGGCCATCTTCTGCCTGTCAGGCACACCAACGGCCCCCAACACCTCGTTTTCCTGCTCTCAGCATCCTGGCAACCTCTCAGGAACCTGGACTATCTACCCAGATGGCCGGTTTGGTAACCAGATGGGACAGTACGCCACACTGCTGGCTCTGGCCCAGCTCAATGGCCGCCAGGCCTTCATTCTCCCCGCTATGCATGCCGCCCTGGCCCCCGTGTTCCGCATCACCCTGCCGGTGATGGCCTCGGAGGTGGACAGTCACACACGGTGGCGTGAGTTGGAGCTGCATGACTGGATGTCCGAGGAGTATGCCCACTTGAAGGATCCAGTGCTGAAGTTCACCGGCTTCCCCTGCTCCTGGACCTTCTTCCACCATCTCCGGGAACAGATCCGCAGGGAGTTCACCCTGCACAACCACCTCCAGCAAGAGGCACAGGGTTTGTTGAGTCAGCTGCGTCTGGGCCGCACCGGGAACCGGCCAGGCACCTTTGTGGGGGTCCATGTGCGCCGCGGGGACTATCTGCAGGTTATGCCCGACCGCTGGAAGGGTGTGGTGGGTGATGGTGCCTACCTGCAGCAGGCTATGGATTGGTTCCGGGCACGGCACAAAGCCCCCATGTTTGTGGTCACCAGCAATGGCATGGAGTGGTGCCGGGAAAACATTGACACCTCCCAAGGGGATGTGACCTTTGCTGGTGATGGGCAGGAGGGTTCCCCCGGGAAAGATTTTGCACTGCTCACACAGTGCAATCACACCATCATGACCATTGGCACCTTCGGCTTCTGGGCTGCCTACCTGGCTGGTGGAGACACTGTCTACCTGGCCAACTTCACCTTGCCTGACTCCAACTTCCTGAAGATCTTTAAGCCTGCGGCCGCCTTCCTGCCTGAGTGGGTGGGCATTAATGCAGACTTGTCCCCACTCCAGAGACTGGCTGGGCCCTGAGCAGCAGAGAGACATTCTGGAATGCTTAATCAATCTAGGTCCAGCATTATGAGTTTCCTGAGGCTTAACATAGCTTCTGGAGGAGCCTGTGGTGGTCCAGCAGGTGGGCACCCATTTCTAGAGTGATTTGAGTTGGCTAGACTTTGAGAGAAAGGGGGGCTTTCTGCAACTGCCTGGACATTCTAGAACCAGCAGATGATCTTTTCCTGTTGACTGGCAGTGTTGAGACAGGCTCATGGCAGTTCTAGAAGGCAAGTGCCTGCTCTTCCCAACCCATATGCAGAGTATTTCTAGATGGCCGCAACCCAGGAACAGGGAAAGCCCCTCTAGTGTTGACCACCCTGGGTTTTTCTAGAAGAGAGACTTCTCTTCCCCTGGGTCCTCAGGACTAAGGGAACTTATGAGCATTCTAGAGCAAGCGCTCACCAACTCCCCTTCTGTTTCTGGAGTGGTTCTCTAGTGGGGATTTGCTCAACTGCCTGTGGAGAAAACCCTGCAGGACTCTTCCAGAGGGGATGGGGTTCTGGAATTTCAGATAACTTTGGCAAAGAATCTAATGAGGATACAACAAGAAGATCAACACCTCAACCAGTGCCAGAGAGATTGGCTGAAGACAAACTTGTGTTTGGACACAAGTACTTGTGTGTAGCTGTGAGCACAGCAGAACTGTCCAATCTCTCAGCATCTGAAAAAAAGCACAAAGACCTTTCTGCAGAGCAGATAGGCTAAAGCATGGGAGGCGGGGAAGAGATGGTGGCTGAAATGCTGCAGCTTCTGGAGCAAGGCTTGCCGGAAATGCAGGGGCACTTTTGTTTTTTAAACTCAAAAACTGCCAACGACAGGTGCTGTACATGTTGGCACAGAGTTTGGGTTGCTTTTTGCAATTAAGAAAGTTTCCTCCTCTGCAGCTGTGCTGCTGGGAGTGGTGTGAATCAATTCTCTGGAATTCAGCCAGCCTAAATGTGTCCCTTGGGCTTGCAGAAAACCACAGGTACTGTGCCCTCTGCCAACCATTGTCTGCCTCTGACTTTAAAGAACCACTAAATCTGGCTTTGGGAAAATTGGGGATGAAAGGACTGGCCTCAAACCCAGGCAGGAGGAGCACACGGTCTGGCCAAGAGGATGGGGTTCCTGACTCAGATTTTAGGAGCCCCTTCATGCTTTTTGAAGGGGGCAAAGGTAGATAACTATTACACAGAAAACTCTGAGCACACCCTTTTATCTACCCACTGGAGAATCTAAGCTCCTTTTCTAGTCTTCTCAGGGAGTTTGGGGGGACTATTTCCTACTTAGCTGCCACAGGTGGGAGAGAAGAGGAGATATGAATTAAACATCCACATCATCAACCCGTCTCTGCAGGTTTTTGGAATCGTGTGTGTGTGAGAGTGTGTAGGAGGAAAGGTGTGGAACTTACAGGGCCTCATGTCTAGGGGTATTGTTCCTGCTCAGTCTGGCAGCCTCTTGCTGCCGGATTTGCGTGAGTTGTCGTCCGTTTTTCTGGTGGCTTGTCTCAGTGATGCAGAAAAGTAAGGAGAGAGAGACCTTCCAGGACTCTGAGCCCCAGTTCCTTTCTCAGGGACTCAGTATTGGCCCCTGAGCTCTCTTTCCTCTGGGACTTAACTCTACCCCATAGGCTGGGGTCGGCTGTAGGAATGAATAAGCAACGAGTATAATTCTCGAACTACATTTTCCATAAAGCTATGGGGTTGGCCGCGGTCGTCTGGAGGGAATGACCCCAGGGCCTTCTGGGAGTCGTAGTTCAAGGCTAGAGGGGGCCGTTTACGTATCTTTGTGGCGCGACCCCAGGCTTTCCAAAAGGCGTGGGCATCTCACGGGAAACCTGGGTCATAGGAAGGAGAGGAAGCCGGAGCAGACTGGGTACTTTTCCTTTGGGGGATACTGGCAAAATTCTAGTCTGAAAAAGCAGCCACTTCTGTGACCTCACCGAACTTCTGCGGGGCCTCCCTTTGTTGAGGTCCAATCAGACTCAAGAGTTGGCTTCTGGGCGGGGCCAAGGAAACCTCCAGGGATTATATCTTGGGAGTTCGCGGCCCTACGTGGGGAACTAGAAGGTGGAGGTTGTGGGAGCTCCTTGTAGAAAGGGGAGAACCGTGACTCTGATACCAGTCAAAAAAGTTCTCCACATCACGCGACCAAACCCACCCTGCCCCCAACGTAATCCTTAATTTTAGGCATGAGAAAATATTGGAGTGGAAGAACTTGGTTCGCTCGTCCTCTCTCAAAGTCCTGAGAAGCTGGACTCGGCCTTCCAGCGAACTCTAGTGGTTGGCCGTACAACGATCAGAGTCGAAGTCCGGCAACTGCCTTAGAGGGAGCATCGGGACCCCTCGGGGTCCTAACGAGAAGTGTGCGCCCTGCAAATCGCGGGTCCATAGTCTCGGGGAGGGGCTTCGTTCCGTTTGGGGTCCACCTCCTCGGTTTGAAGTGAGAGGGTCCTCCCCGCGGGTCTGCGTGGGCTTCGCGCTTTGGTCGCAATGCGGCCACGGCTTCCCCTCCTGGTGGCAGCGCTGGCAGGTTGCCTGCTTCCTGCCCAGGGCTGTATCATGTGTGACCCAAAGGCCTTGAAGGCACTGAAGTCCTTGGAGAACGATTACCTGCCAGGCCACCTGGAAGCCAAGCACCACCAAAACGTCATGAAAAGGGTACAGGAGGCCTTGCAGAATTTCAAGGAACTGCCGATTGGAGAGAATTCCTATATGGGAGTCATCGGTGAGGGCAGCGCGGAGCGCGGACTCCTGGGTCCGGGGAAAGGCGAGGTCTGAGGCTAGGATTGCGGGGTGGAGGGGTGGGGAAAGGCTAGAGACAAGAGTCTCATGGGTTCGGGAATGGAGAAGGCTGGGATGCAGATTCCAGGGTTTCTTAGGAGTGGCAAATACTGCGTTCCCCGACCCCTGCTGGAATTTTGTGCGACAAAACTACAACTCCCAGAAGGCAACGGGAGGCGGGAAATCCTTTTAGCGTGCCTACCCTTTACCAGCGGCCCCATGGATATTGTAGTTTCTAAGTCTAGGCGAGCCAATGAGACGTTAATGCTTGGGATCTGAGATTCCATCTCCTCCCCACAGATGAGCCCACCCTGGAAAAGGTATCTTGGAGTTTTCTGAAGGATCTGAAACGCATCACGGACAGCGATGTAAAGGGTAAATGCACTGAGGGGAGAGGGGAGGAGCTCCAGAATTGCTGAGAGAAAGTGATTGCTGGTGACACCTGGTCTGCTCTGTGGTCTGGTGGTGGCCCTGTAGTCAGCCTAAGTTCAGATTTCGACTTTGCTTTGCGAGGGATTTCACAGCTCCCTCCTGTCTAAAATGGAGACCAGAACAGTGCCTTCATCCCAGCTGCTGCTTAGTCCAGGGGCTAAGTTAAGTGGTCACTCAGTTTCACTGTCCTTCCCTGACAAGGCCTGAAAGCAGAATGCCAGGCTGTGCAGTCCGAGGCAAGCTTCCTGTACCTCACTCCCGGGATGGTGATCGGGGCAGGGAGACGCACTCTGTGTCATCCTGCTTCTTCCCAGGCGAGCTCTTCGTGAAGGAGCTGTTCTGGATGTTACACCAGGAAAAAGATACCTTTGCCAGACACGTCGCTCAATTCCAAAAAGAGGGTGAGAGAAGATGGGAGTCTGTCTGGAACTCCAGGCCCAAAGTCCCTGTCCCCAGCCCTCTGCTTTTCCAAGTCCCGTCTCTTAGTTCTCCCAGCGCACGCCCCTCAGACCCAGGGGTCCAGGCACCCAGGTCCTTCCTTTCTTAAACCCGAGTCCCAGCCCCAGCCTCTTCCTTCAACCCTCTCTCAACTCTTTTAACTTAAAAATCTGATTCTCTCTCTTTTTCCTTCCGAGGCAGCTTTTTGTCCCAACAAATGTGGTGAGTCAGGATTTTGGAAACTAGTCCTTTATCCTTTTCCCTGCCCCTTTTGAGTCTGTGTTTTTTCATTCTCCTTCCCGGGTTTCTAGTGTATCTTCTGCACCTCGGACTTCTTGGGGGGCCGTCGTATTCTATTTCCACTCCTGACTAAGCCCGGGTAGATTCCACTTCTTGCAGGGCGGCGTATTAGCCCCGCCCCTCGGGCTGACTCTTAGGGATTCTGCACCTGACCCCGCCCCAGCCCTTGGTCCTGCTCTCTTTTTAGCCCCGCCTTTTAGGGGGGCAAATATAGCCTTGCCCCTGCCCCTGCAGGTATGATGTTGCAGTCTTTGATCTGGTGTACTAACTGCGAGAAGCAGGTTCACGCTTGCCAAAAGTCCAAGGATTGCGGGGGTGAGAGCTGGGCTCAGCGGGATGGGTTGGTGGAGGAGGGCGGAGCCAGAGGAGCACCTCAGTCTAGAGAAGGCAGACACTGGAGCCAATCTACAAGAAAAGGCGGGGCGCGACCGAGTGGAAGCGGGAGGGAAAAGGGCAGGAACCGGGAAGAGGTATCCTGCAGTAACATCCTATCTTCAGAGCGCAGGGTCGAGGTCCGTGCAATGGAAGACCTGATCCTAGACTGTGAGCTCAATTGGCATAAAGCCTCTGAAGGCCTGACGGATTACAGCTTTTACAGGGTGGGGCCCTCCAACTCCTGTATTCCTTTAACTCCCACGTCCATCAGGCCTGTGTGAGCCCCCGGGGCCCTGTAACCACAGGCCTGCACAATCCCCATGACTCATGACCTTAAAGGTTTGATTTCCACTGACCTCGCCACTCCCACGCCCTGGTCTCTCATCTCCCCGACTGAGGCCCTATGATGATCTCACCCCTGTACCCCCACGAACCCAGAATTCCCCAGGCCTCTCTGACCCTTTGAGCTTGGGTCTAGGTTTGGAGTAACAATTCTGAGACCTTGATGTCGAAGGGGAAAGAGCCCACCCTGACCAAGCCCATGGTGGGTCAAGAGGACGAAGGCACCTACCGCTGCGAGCTGGGCTCTGTGAAAGGCGGCCTAGCCACCGTCATCCATTTTCATGTCACAGGTCAGTGCTGGGGAAGGAAGTGTAGGATTCGGGGTCTTGGGGTTGGGATGGTCAGCCTTCAGGGGCTTGGCCAATGTGGGCAGAACGTCCTGGAGGGTGTGGTTCCAGGCCACGAGGGTGTGGCTTCCACCCTGGGTGCAGCCTCTGGCTGCCTTTGCAGGACTCCCCCCCGGGTGTATTCGGGGTTCACCTTTTTGGAGATCTGATTATCTCCTGGAGGGCTTGGGTCCTGGAACGGGTTGGGGAGGGGATGGCTGGCTTGGCCAAGGCGGGACCTTCATGCCTCCCGGTACTGCTCTTTCCCTTCCTCTATCAGTGTTGCCCCCAAATACCGAGGAGGTACCGTCTGTAAACACCGAAACCGAGGGTTGCGTGGCCCCGGGTGAGATGCCTGCGAATTTCCCCCAGTCGCCCACAACTGTCCAGGATATGATATCACAGCCTCCGAAGCTCGAGAAGATGCTGAGAGGACGCCTAGTAGGGCTGCTGATCGGGGGCTTTGTGGTGCTCATCACCGTAGTAGTCACCATGTGAGCCGCCCACTGAAGGAGGCAGAGCTTGGAGTGAGGGGCAGGGTTTCCAGCTTCCTGAAGCAGGAGGGGACCTGGGAGCTACAGAACGCTGATAGCTGGACTGCCATTGGGGATGGGGCTCAGAAAACTGGGTGGGCCCTACGTAGGAGGGCGGAGCTTGGATAATTGCTAGAATATATCAAATACAGGGAGGCTGGTGGGGGGGATGTCCCTCACTCAGTTGCTCTATCTGCACGCCCACCTTTCCCCAGGATACTTTGCTTTCGGTCTGGGAAGGCAATGGATGCCATAAAGTACTGGCTCGGCACTCGCAGTGTAGCTGCTCAGCACCCCAAGGTTCCAGAGGAGAAGGCCACACAGTCAGAGGACAAATAAAGATTTATCTGGTTGTCTAAGTATCTTGACTCATTCCTCCCATCTGATCCTAACTTTTGGTTCCCCTAGAGGAGAGGTCAGGGGACGGTCTCCTGATTGAGAGAATGGGGCTGGGAACCAGGCCTCCGGGGTGCTGGAAGGGACCAACTGGCTGAGACGCTATTCCAGAATCAAGGAGTGGGGCAGGGCCAGCCCTGTCCAGATCTCCTCCCCCAGGCCCGGTCCCCTCACAGGACGCCCCCTCCCCGCTCTTCCTGCCGGGTTTCCTCTTGCCTTTTCCTGTCCCCCACCCAGTGCTGGGAGCTGGGCAGAGGCAAAGGCTGAACAGGAGCAGCGGGGTCGGGAACCAACCAGGGCCAACGGAGCCAGGGCCCCCAGGGGCTGCGGGGACCCGAAGCAGGGTAAGAAGCGGGGACCCAGGAGTCCAGATCCCTCTTCCCTCAGACCTAGGAGTTAGTCCCCAGCCACTTCCTAT